AATACATGTATGAATTTCATGGAACATATGAATATATATACACTTGGTTGTAGCAGATGAATTGTGAAAATTTGGACATCATCATCGGCGAAGATGTAAAGTCCCTGCGGAGGAAAAACAGAAAACTGAAAGAGAGGGTGTGTCAGCTGGAAAGAAATATTTCTGTAGCTAGCTCTCAAGACCAGTCTAACTCCAGCCAGTCCTCATACCAGTCAGACTCCAGCAAGTCCTCAGGCCAGTCAGACTCCAGCCAGTCCTCGGACCAGTCAGACTCCAGCCAGTCCTCAGGCCAGTCAGGCTGTAGGGCAATGGACACAAACAGCCAAAAAGGAATGTATGCCAAGAAATGAACAACAGCCAACTGAAGATGTAGAAAAGTCATTACTGGATGAAGAAACTCTTATAAAATCTGTCAAAGGTGTTGTTGGTGACCAGAATGTAATGAAACATCTATGCCTTCAGATCTTCACAGAGGAAGATATGATAAATTCAACACGAACGGGAAAGCGAACTGCAAAGGCAATGGACAATGTAAAGTCATCGCTTGACCCAATCAAATTCAATATTCTAGAGACAGTCATAATGAAAGTCACACCATTTGACAAAGCCACATTCTATAAGAAGTTTGAGAATCAGCAGAAAATGCTGCGCAGGGCTAAAAAACAGTGACTTATACTGTCAAGGGTTGATAAACATTTATTTTGGTGAAAAAAATGGTTTCTGTCACAATAGTTATTATTTCTTACTGAATGGCAAGCCTAATTATGCTGCCTGGAACTTTCCAGACATGACAACATAAATTTTCTTGGAACATAAAATTTCTTGAATTTATTCTTGAATTATTGTTCAAGATGAAAATCAAATGCATAATTTTACTATATAATTTTTAAAGTAATTTATCAACGGTTCTTGAACCTAGTTCTTGAAATGTTCGTGAACAATAAGTGGGTGTTCTAGGACTACCAAGTTCAAGAATTGTTCAAGATCAATTTCCCAGAAGTTCTAGATCTAGTTCTAGAAATAGTTATTGATCTTCCGAGTTCTAGAACGGCCATTTAATGTTCATGAACTGTTCAAGAACCTTAGTTCAAGTAAGTTCTAGAATGGTTTCTTGAATTCCTCGCAGGGGTAAAGTACTGACTGCTAGATAGTAATTGGACATACTTATTTTGGCCCTCTGGGTGTTAAAACAGGTATTATTTATCTGATTAACGTGCAATTAAAAGGTGTGAAAGTCGTTTAAATCAGACAAAGCAATGCATTGGGACCAGGCAATTAGGGTCGCTTGTCACATATGGCAGGGAGTCGTATAATTCAGACCATTTATATAGGAAAATACGTTTGGAGGACTGAAACAAGGTCGGATAAGACAGGGAGTCGTTGAAAATCAGGGGGTCGCTAAGGCAGTCTCGACTGTATTGTATTGCTACAGTCATGGCGTTCCTTGCTGTTCCCATCTGAAAACTTCCAACATTTATCATCACTTTTGGTGTATAATGTTAAGCACCTGGTTGTTTATCCGTTAGCAATTTTGTGTCTGTGCCGTTCTCATTGGAAAAAACTTAAACATTTGGAGTGGTGGTGTAATGGTTAAGGTGTCCGCCTCGCAACCTCGGGATTGTGGGTTCGAACCCGACACGGGTCACGACCATGATTTCTCATATGGCACCAATACTGGTTGGTTCCAGGAAGTGAACTCGAGGGTGATTTGAATAAGTTGTGAGAACTTGCTTCACAATCTTCCTTAAATAAATAAGTTTAAACTAAACATTTGTCATAACTTTCAGCATGTTGAACCATAACTCTCCTTTGCATAATTTAAGACTTATTTCCCCTTAATAATTTTTCAATCTTATCCGGAGCATAACTAAAAAATTATTGGATGAATGAGCTAGAAACTTCATGTGTGAATAGATCTCATTTAATAGAAGTGCAATTTTTAAAAACCATAACTCCTTTGCAATTTTTTTTAGTTATTGCCCATTGTTTTCATACTTAATTCTTATCTGCTCAGGGGTTTTAAATAAATAAGTTTAAACTAAACATTTGTCATAACTTTCAGCATGTTGAACCATAACTGTCCTTTGCATAATTTTAGACTTATTTCCCCTTAATAATTTTTCAATCTTATCCGGAGCATAACTAAAAAATTATTGGATGTATGAGCTAGGAACTTCATGTGTGAATAGATCTCATTTAATAGAAGTGCAATTTTGAAAAACCATAACTCCTTTGCAATTTTTTTTAGTTATTGCCCATTGTTTTCATACTTAATTCTTATCTGCTCAGGGGTCAATATAAAAAAGTATTTGATATCAACTCGAAACTTCATAATTCATACTTAATTCTTATCTGCTCAGGGGCCAATATAAAAAAGTATTTGATATCAACTCGAAACTTCATAGATGTATAGATGGTAAAGAGTAGGAATTTATGCTCAAGAACTATTATTTTCTTTTCCATGTTTTTTTAGTTACTGTGTTCTGTAATTTCTGGCTTCTTTTTTTTTTTTGAAAAAAAAAAAAAAAAATGAGTTCTTCCTATAGTCACGGCATTGTTGCCATTGCCGTTCCAGTTCCGATCGGAAACTTAAACATTCATCATGACTTTCCTATTACTAAATAGATTTTCTTCAAACTTGGACATACAAGACATTCAAGTAAACAAGGCTAAACTTGATCTTAACTCTTAAATAACTTTGAAGGTGAAAATACTGAATTTTGCTAAAATTGGCTTTTTTCAGTTTATAAATGAATGACTTGTCATCAAACTTGGACACACCCTTTGGTTCAAGTAGACCAGACTGAGCTTGACCTTGGCTCGTAGATGGCCTTGAGCTTCAAGATAATATTTTTGAATTTTGCTATAATTGTCATAACTTCGTTATTTATGGACCAATTTGATTTATACTTTGACAAAAGAACACTTATGGCAAATCCGATAGCTGTGACCCTGAACTTGATAAGACCTTGACCGTTAAGGTCAAATTATTGAATTTTTTTAAATTGCTATAACTTTATTAATGGATAGATTTTATTTATTCTTAAAACTAAAATAAAAACTTATTAAATACAAAACTGGCATACATGGACAAAACCACATGCAAGACCAACCCATTATATTGAGTAATTAAAAACTGACCTTTGAATGATGTTCTTCCTCTTATATTAAAAAAAGTCTAGTGTGGCTCCCGCTTGAGGTAGCTCATATTATGCTTCATATTTGTCCAGTAATATGATATAACTTTGCAGACAAAGTGAGGTGCAAGGGGCAAATTAGGCATGACAGTGGCAGTTCTAGTTTCACATTGAAAATCATTAATCTTGAACATTGGCATAATTATTCATGATTTTAATTACTCAATAAGCTTTAGCAACACATTTGTTTCCATTGTTTATTATATAATACACGTATTTCAATTTTCCGTGCATACAACCTTTACATATTTCTTTATATAACACATAACAAACAAACAAACTACATACAAAAGCATGCCTTAATGATGAAATAGAAATTAATATCAGTGCTTTCAGTTACATGATAATACATTATGATAATACATAATATAAAATATTATTAAACTACTAAGTACTAAGTTAATGTAATATAGCTTGATATAAAATTGCTTTATAAAATTTTTCTTGAACTCGTTTAACAAAATCCTGTATGACAACTCATGTATCCTATATGTATCATGTTTTTACCAACTTTGTTTTCATTTTACAGGTGAATGTCACTGCAAAAGTTGTTAACAAGCAGGACACTGTCAAATGTTCGCAACAAAAAATTTGAGAAGACAGGTTTTGTGATAGCAGACAGAGCTCCTGCAGTAGAACTCACTTTATGGGGACCACCAGAACAGATTTTAGTATCAGCTTCATACAAATTTGAGAACGTAACAGTCAAGGCATTTGAGACAAAAAAACTGACAACAACAATGAACACAAGAATTACAAAAGCATAAATCTCACAGATGTTGTTGAAAAACTGCCAACAAGCAATTGGGTTAGAGTGAAAGGACACATATCAGGAGCTGAAATTGAAACAGTCCAGAAGTGCTCCTTTTGCCATGACTTGGTTGTCATAAACCAAGAATTGCAAAGTGTTAAAAGTGGAAATTGCAACAAACGACAACTAGTTACTTCTGTAATCAAGCAAAAGAAATGTGAAATAGCTCTCAAGACTGACGATAAATTACAAACATGCAAAATTCCGGAAGAACTACTTACGATCTATACTCTTGGTATAGAAAATGATGAAGATAAAGAACTGTATTTATTAACACACTGCCATGTAGAAGTAACTCTGCTAAAAAACACAGTCAAAAGCATAACTGAACTTTTGTAAACAAACTACAAACAGAAAAAAATATTAAATGAGATATATCCTTCAAAAAACAGTATTTCTTTGGTATCGTTTTCAGACAAAGTATTAATGGTTTCTTTTCTAATAATATTTTCATGCCACCATAGTATCTGCAATGCGCTTGCATCTAGCGATTCACTAGACCTCTACCAAGTTTAATAAATCATGGCCCCAGAGTCAAAATAGGTCCTGCCTCAAAGGTCTTCTGATTTTACACAAGACTTATATAGGAAATCTTAAAGAATCTCTTACAAACTATAAAGCCTAGAGTTAATTTGGTGTGTAGCATCCCCAATTAGACCTCTACAATGTCTGTTCAAATCATGGACCCAAAATCAAATTTGGCGCTGCACAGAGGTATTTTGCTTTTACATAGACTTCAGGAAAAAGTATAAAATTCTTGACAGAAACTGTAATACCTAGTGCCTAAAGATTTGATTTATGGCATTGTCTAATTGACATGTATTATGCTTGTTCAAATATTACAGCCATCAGGTTAATATTGGTCCCTTTCTAGAGGTCACTTCATTTTACATTGACTTGTATAAGAAACCCTTTTAAAATCTTGTAAAAAAACTGCAAATCCTAGAGCTTAGTACTTTCATGTAGTATCCCAATTAAACCTGTACCATGATTGTTGTCCTAAGATTAATATTTAGCAAATAATAAACTACTTTCGTGTTATACAAAGATGTGTCATTGCATTTTTCACAAATGCAGTATTGTTCTTATCATTAATATGATAATTTACTTTTTTGCTTCATTGTATAACTCTTTTTATTGGGGCAACTAAATTTTAGAATTTAGGTGATTTAAATCACAAGTAGTTGATAGTGAGACATAATCACTAGTCTGGATTACCTGCCCTTTGTCTAAACAAAGAGTCAGGCACAAACCAAATAATGGCGGCGGCGATGGAAACGGTAAGTTTAAGAGCAAATAGCAAAAGGTGGTTCATTGTGATAGTATTGACTTTCTGGTCAATATCAATGGTGTAGTTTTCATTCGTGTAAAGTGTTCTTATGGAGCTATTACTTATGATCAGATTTTACATTCCTTTCCTGACAAGTTGAATATTATTCGGACAAATTTACACATAGTGTAATTTCGGACAATATATATTTAATTGATAACTTTTATCTTCATATATCCTTATCGTGGCTTGTGACAGCATCTTACTGTACTGAAGTAGATAATTACTGTACATTGTGCGTAAATTATGTCCTTGCATATTATAAATGCATTATCAGTGATCATGTTTCTTTAAGAATAAAATACATTTTAGGTAAATTCTAACAAATATCCAATATACATTGAACTTCTTAAAAAAAATATTCTGAAAACCTAGGTATCGAGCTGAAATCTGAGAATTTCAACACCCATCAATATTGAATAATTAAACATAATTTTATTCAATTTCAGATGGATCACAACTACATTAGAGCCCAAAATAGGCTGCCTGGTTTCCAGGTAATAGAAATGCGATCTGGACCGGACCACTCCTATGTCAGACACAAAGACTCTACCCCTCAGAAACGGGGAAGTAAACGAAACTTATCGACTCCAACAGGAAAGACACCTAAACATGAAAATAAACGGATTGAACTGGTAAATTATTTTTCTTTTACTACTACCTTCTATTTTATTAATTAATATATATACTTGATACAGATACATATATATTATATTGATATGGATATGGATTTGGTTAATAAGTTTAACTCAAATAGTTTTTATAACTTTGAGTTATTCTTTTATTCAAGACAAGACCATGCTCCTTTATGTTTTACAGAATCTTATAAACCATAAAATTTCAATATTTACATTGAATACTTGTTAAATGTACATGTCGTATTTTATATAAACCTAGGATGAACGAATCAAGCATAATAGATGGTCGGCTGATGAGAAGTCTTTCTTGAGGGAATACAGCCAGGCGTCAACAAGAGGAGAATCTGAAAATAGTTTCTGGAACAATTGTGCGACAGCCATGAACAAGAAGTTTGGTGGAAAAAACAGAACAGGTAAACAATGTTTTGAAGCTTTGCTAACATTAGTCTGGTCCTATTAAATCTGATTTTTCTAGGCTCTATTTTTCTTCAGCTATATTATAAATACATTATGGACCATGCTCATAAACTTGCTTGGCATGACTATTGTCAACATATACAGTACAGCTAATACTCAAGTATTTTAAAGGCCATAATATAATCTGTTGTATTTTACTAGGTGTTGCTTTTTATGCTTTGCAAGTTATTTGTGATATACATGTATAGCCCCCTCTCATGCACAAGAATCAGATTTTTTAAAGGTTTTCCCAGACTCCTAAATTGCAAGTGTTTCCCGATTGTGTACTTGTGTTATTTGCTTCAAAGGAAAATCTTGTAAGATGGCAGCTTGGCGGTTGAGCCTTACCAGTACATCTAGCAACACAGCATGTACCTCTTCAGCTGCTGAAGATTTTGGAGATTTTACACAGCTGCCGGAGACAAACGGTTGTGATGTGGGAACACAGACTGAGTGGTCTTTCAATAGAAAGAATAGGCAAGAATATTCTTATCTCAAAATTCATTATTCTGTTCATAACAAAATACATCATTAAAATTTGACACACATTATCTAATAACTGATCATCAGTATGTGATCTTCTATTGCCTTGTTTTACAAATTGTTGATAACATATTTGGTTGGTTATATTATGTGTAATAACTTAAATCCTGAATATTTGTATTTATACTTTCTGTGTTTGACAGAGGCATATAGTTTAAAAGAGCTTCTTTGGATATTTGTGAAAATGAATTGTACTTTTAAAAATACTTGTCATAGAATTTAAAATGTGTCGATGCAATGTCTTGGTATTGTTAAAGAACATAACTGCCCGGATGATATTGTGTAAAAATGTACAAGCTCCTTAAAAGTTAAATAACGTTTTTTTCCAGGACAAGCAAGCAAGATTGGATATTCTTTGAGCCACGAAAATATCTGCAGGGGGTAAGTTTGATGTACAGATGCGCTTTAAACCCCCATTCAGTAATGCTAGTTAGAAAAAGTTTTTAAAAGTCTAGCACTTAGCCATCACACAAATAATCTTGTGAAGTATAAATTAATTGAACTTTAACTTGACAAAGTTCAGTACATCAATAATGATGTTTTTATGCCTCTAGTCGAAGACATTGTTTTTGTCCTTGACTTTCAAAGAACCTTGACCTTGATAGAAAAATATGAGCAAAATCGACTTTGGCTTGTAACTGCTTGGGGCATTGTGTTTCACAAACACATCTTGTTCTATATAAAGTTTATTTTATTAACGATTATTACCTACATGTATGTTGAGAAGTTTTGCAACCTTGAATGTTATAAGCTTTCGAGACAAACTGAGAAAAACAGAAGGAGCATGGTACTTTGAGGACCACTCTTATTGCTTTTGTAAAAAAACAAAACAAAAATTTCATGTTGCTTTAAACTACCATTTGATATTGATAATGGTCATTTCAGACAAAGAGCAAGTGTGCTGAGACGTTAAATACTGCTGCACTGAGACGTCTAAGGACCTATTCAGAGCTAAAGGAAGAGGACATACATGAGATCATAAAAAAATTATGTGAGTATTATTTTAATTTAATTAACAAATAATAATATTAAAATATAATACTAAGCCGAATACAAATTATGCAGTGATATATTTATACCCCCACAAACAAAAGTTTGAGGGGGGTATATTGGAGACATCACGTCAGTCGGTTGGTTAGTCGGGCGGGCTGTTGGTCCGTCCGCGTATATACGAACATTCTTGTGGCGCAAACTACTTCCACATTTCTTGAGTGATTCATTTGAAACTTGGAATGTTATCACACTGATGTGCAGATATGCAATCAATCCAGGTTGGCATAGTTATGTGCTCTTGAACTTAGCCAAATTTTGTGAAACTGCTTATAACTTCCATCTTGGCTGTGTATACTGTGACAAATGTGCGTTGTGGGGGTATTAATCATCATTAGTGATAGTTCTTGTTATAATTTATATCGACTGAAGTCAATTCTTTTTTGGTATCACAGCATAATTATTTTAAAGATAAGGAGTAAAAAATGGGATAATAAATTGACATTATTGATTAGAAAATGTTAGAAATCTCTAGCTTTCATTGACATTTGCAGTGCACAAGAACTGTAACTCTACTTTGTTCTGTTTTAAATTCTTCTTCTTTGAGCATAACTTTGTCAACTTCTATGCAATGTCAGGGGACACATCTGTTTCAAAGAAACATGTCGAGTCGATTTAAAAAAGAGCTTTTTTAGCTATTTTAATTGGATATTTACGCAAATACTCAGCTGATCTGTAAACTCGAGTTATTACTGAAATAAAAGATTAATATAGTTAAGGTGTCAGATGTGCATTTCATTGCTGTATTAAACAACATTTTCCAGGTTCCAGCTCTTCACATGAAGTTGCAGCCCACCTGTTGTCGTCACCCTTGCGAGGAAGTATTATTGTGGAACTTCTGAATGAAATTGAATTTGCAGCAAAAGAATGCTGCAACAAGGAAAGTGTTTTGGCCCAAAAGGAATTCTGTGACTTGACTGATTTTAACTGGCATGAACTCATTGGTGAACTTCTTGAACAACAACCATTGCTAGCTGATGTTCTCTTGGCAGTGTCACTACCAACATCAAAAATAGGGAATACCAACAGTGTTCATAAACTTATACCGGTTTTATCAACTGTGTTTGGAATGCTGATGAAAACCAGATACCAAGAGCTGTCTTTAGTTCAGAAGATCATTGCAATGACTTTGGCTAATGAACAGACAAGCCAAAAAGTAAATTGTGTTACAAGTATGTTTTGTTGCCTTCAGACATTGTGTTAAGAGCCCAATGCAACAAACTATTGACTAATCAAAAAACTGGATTGAATAAACTAGAAAAAAATGTCTCTTAAATGGACATTCCCCTTTATCTGGTATAAATCAGTGAAGTATTTAATAAGATACGTCTTAAAACATTGGATTTGTTTTTATTTTTAAAACTCCAACGTATCAGAAAAAGTTAAGTGGCATAGTACCAAAATAATTAAAGTTTGTGAATTTGGGCATTCAAATGTTAAGAATTCTGTTCATGTTCATTGCACATGTTTTATCTATGGAAACTTTATTATTATTGTTTTAAGTTATTGCATTGTATATTTTTTTATTATGCATTTGACTATGCAGATGTTGTTTTTAATTTGTTTTCAAGTTGGTGTTTAGGGTTGTATTACAGAAATGTTCATGATTTTTATGCTCCCCAAAAAATTTCGGGGGAGCATATAGTTGCCGGGTTGTCCGTCCGTCAGTCAGTCAGTCCGTCCGCTCTTACAATTCCTGTTTATGTGTCTACATGCTAGTACAGGACAGCTTTATGTGACTTTCTGGATTTATGTGCCTAGCCACATAACCCCAATTTGTAATAGGTATAAAATGGTTCTATGTGTCTTTAGAAATGGTATAAGAAAAAAGACACATTATTTGACGGAAAAAAATGTCCGTCCTAACGGACATCCGTACTGTCCTTTTTCAGTGTTGTCTCCCTTTAATCGCTGTTCGTCACGGTATATTTGCCTCTAGATGGTTCCGTGTAATATTGTAAGCGGAACAAAAATAGTAATTACAAGTGGGGAACCAATATACGAGCACCTGCCAGATAATCGCGCATGCGCTAAAAGTTCATCTGACCATGTGCGCAAGGTGAGTTAGTCAAATTACTTATGTGTTTAATATGTTTAATAACTTTATTATCTACGTCTATCGATTTTATTTTTATAAATAAGATACATAAAGAACGTGTCTTTTCTCTAATGATGTGTTGTTGCAGACATGAAAGTAATATGTAGACACATTTGTAAAATGGCGGACGTGTTGACTGACCTGATAGTGTTAATTTGTATTTTACTATTTTTAATCCTCTGCACACTGATTTTGATATTTGTTAAGATGGTATTAGTGATTAACTTGTGGACTAATCTGTTTCTGTCATGGTCACGGGATTTTCAGTAAGGTAAAAGGTGTGTATTTGCAATTGATAATTTGTCTTCGTACCGGTTGTCTTCGTACTTATACAAACAATGCACCGTGTCTTCGTGCTTACAAATAATGCACCGGTATGCATTATGTACTTAGTCTGATGTTTGTTGTGAATTTGATGGACTCTTACTCATAATCTTATTGTATGTAAACATTTAATTTAGCGATTTTTATTTTAAGATGATTGAAATTTTTAATGAGTTTTTTTTTTACAAATTTTCTACTTTGAACACAAATTCAGGGTATAACTGAATACTGAAAGCAACATTTACCGGACACTACTGGAAACAAATTAAATGTTACCGAAAACTTATCATATTTCATTCATTTAGTTACTTTTATGCACTTCTTTTTAGCCCAAAGATATGTAAAATCCTGTGTTATTTCTACAGCTAATGGATACGTTTATATATATATATATCTACATGTGTAAATTTATCCGATTTTTTTAAAATAAGTTATTAAGTAACTTATTAATAAGTTCATTGTTTGCAATCTTAATACTTATTCATTAAATTATCCATGGTTTATTTATAAATTTAAATGGTAAATGAAACTGTGTTATTGATTTTTTTTTCTTCCCTTGTGTACACCAGCGTCTGGTAATTTTCCATGACGTGTGTATGACCTTTACACCTTAAGACTACATGTGTTAATCACCTAACATGATGTTTATCAGTTAAAAATTAATTGAAATCAAAAGGTTCCAATATCTTTATTTTGGAGAAATTAAGCTTGCAGCTGTGAAAACATCATTGCTCATTTCATGGATTTAATTGGATTATGATAAGAGATAAGTGTCTATATTTTTTGTTATTGAAAGGAAATGCTCGCTGTGAATACACTCTAGAATAAGATTAACTAGACACCAACATCAATGATAATGTAGTGATATCTTTCATTTAATTTTCAGTACTATGGATATCCATTTGTTCTGGTGTAGATTACCTGGGTTACCTAGAAAAATGAAATGGCCAGTAAAAGTGAAAGAATGGCATGATGACAAAGCACTTGTCTACTGTAGGTCTGATGATGCATTGTAAGTTTTTTTCATTATTCTTCAATTAATGATTATGTATTCATCTTTCTAGTAAGCTATCACATATATTAAACCTACTCTTTCAACTTGCTTTTCACAATTATTAACTGATGGCACATATCACATTCAACTTGATATATGAAGATGAGGAGTCAGAGCCTTGATAACGTTACTGTCTGCATGTAGCATTTTTTTTTACATGGAAGTATTTTTGTTTCAGTTCCAACACACTTGTGAATATTATTCGTAATTTATTTGTAGCTTTAGTATTACGAAGGATCATATGGTATCTTTTCCTGGGCCATTTGAAACATTACAAAACATAGGCATTGGTATAGTACCAGTTGTTAGCTACAGTACGCACATCGCATAACTTCCCAACGCACACCCTACCCCGCGATTTTGCTCAAGCGTGTTCACCATATTTTGAACCCCCAAGAAAGGGTTTTCACAGTGATAAGCGGCCTCGAACATGGTGGTCACGGACACGATGTGTTGAGGTGTTCATTCGCAGTGATTTCACTGTGTTCTTTTTCTGTAAAAATCAACTCACCTGCCATTCCAGTGTAATTTAAAAAAAATAATAAAAATCCATTTAAAAAACCTATTTTTAATGCTGCCTGATGGATCCGATTTTGACAAACATTGATTAAAAAAACGAAGACAAATACACAACACAAACTATTTTGACACGCACTAAAATAATTGAACTAATAATAATCCGATGAAAATATTTTCTTCTTTTCACTTGATGTTTACGTGAGCAATTATTAAAGACATGTATAATCTTTTCTTCACAAAAATGATCGGCGAATGTCAAAGTTAGCAACCTCTTTGATTTCGGTTGAGTTAAGTCGCAGCGTCTAAACAATTCCTTTGAAGTGTCGGTTATAGGCACCTGTAAAAAGGTCAACTTGTCTATTTATTAGAATCTACATGAATTTATATTTTCAGTTGTGTTGTGCATACAATTTAACATTTTCATATATAATTTGCTTGGCACAAGTTTGATTAAATAAATAGAAATTTATGCTAGTGTTTTAAAAATTGTGCATTTTAGCAGTATGGAATTCAGACAATCTTGAGGGATAACTCATTTATTTTATTGTTAATAACTATGTAGACTGTCAAAAGTTGATGGATTAAATCTTTATAAATCAGAAAGGTAATTTTAATACCCATTTATATCAAATTCTGAAGACTATTTTGTTTGTCCGCAACATATTTACACAAAAACGCGCATTCTCATCCATATTCGGGTAGCTGAATTAACCCGTTTTAGGGGATTTTCGAAAAATTATTTTACATGATTAAAAAGATCATTAGTCAAGACTTGTTGTTTTGTATTATTTGAGCCTTCACAAGTCTGCCATACAAAAATTAGAATAGAAAAACGCGATATTCACACATTTTCTTTAGCTTCCCAGCGTTTGTTTTGGCTTGGAACAATTACAGTATTATGAATTAAATAAATGTGCGAAAACAAGGTAATATCTAAACATAACTTAACCTTTTTTGTGCTTCAAAGCTGATGAAACCACAGTGGAAATATTATGAAAAATATTTGTTGTTGTTAAAAAATATCGAATGAACACCGAGAATCATCGTGTGGGGACACCATGAACCACTGTGTGCACACTTCAGTGTCCTCTAAGATATCTGATCGTATCCGTGACACTGTGATTGAACATGCTCAATAAATTTTTGTTGCAGTGTTCGCATGGAAAAGGGAAGTTAACGCGATGCGCATACTGTATTACTGCTTTGTTTCAAACCTTTACTTTTTATTGTTCTCATTGCAGTTAAATGTAAGAAAGTTCTAAAATAGCTTTTGTTATAGTTACAAACCTGGGTTGTCACTAGGTATTTTTCTTGGAAGGCTTATTTTGAATTAAAAGTTATATATTTAATTAGGGGTGTGCAATATATCGCAATATATCAGTTATCGCAATATATTCTCTAACAATATAATATTGCAATATGATTTTAAAATATTGCAATATTTCAATTGCATTGTTAGAATGATGTCTAAAACATGGTTGAATATAAGCATTTAAAGAAAGAAAGGAAAAAAATCTTGCAAAAAAAAAAAAAATGTTTACTTAGCTCATTTCCGGTCTTGTTACGGGATTTGTTTACTTAATTTGTTTTTTATTTTACTTAAAAACAAGTTAGACCTTAGTCACATAAGGGGACACAAACATAAAACAGGAATAGCTTATTTAGTGTTCAAATATTTCATTTCCATGATTTCTCTATGGTCACAATATATTGCAGTATTTATTAAAATATCGCAATATATCACAATACCATTTTGTCTGGCAATACTCAGGCCTATATTTAATAACATAGAATAAAGAATGTTTCCTTGTTTCGTGGCAGTCGTTTTGGCATCCAGCCTCCTATTGACAACCCCGAGTTAACTGTTATAATTGCTTGATTCAATGCATGAAAAATGTTCTGAATTATGCATTCCTGTACAGATATTTTAAAATGCAGATGCCTACTGTATTAATTAATTTTTATTGATGTCATGTAAAGCAAAAGGTTGTTTAAAGTGAGCTTACTGCTATTGCCATGTACATTATGTGTCATTAAGGTGTTGCTTTAAAAGCAAATACAGGCTTAATTGAAACCAAACTTGAAGGATCCTTAGGTGTTCCCCTTTAAAAAAATCAAAAAGTTAAATTTATTGATCTTAAAAGAATAAAATTATCTCTCAGAAGCCACAGGGCTTAAACTTAAGATAATTGTACATAATAGTTTAGCAATATCTTGCACAACACATGGTTGTCATTTCATTTATCTCTGTAATTGGCTTAGTTAACTTAAGAATCTGTATGTATATGGTTTTAGTCATAATTATAAATGTAATGTTCAAAATTCATCTTAGGATATGACCATAAAAATGAAAATTTTAAAATAAATTAAAAAAAAAATCTGACAAAAAGGATTTTTGTTGTCTGAATAATTTCATGTAATGAATCATGATAAACATTAAGGCTTGAAATGTTACTTTCTGGTTTGAAGTTGAATTACCATTGAACAATTTTCTTCTCATTTAGTTTGCCTCCTTACTGTTTAGCTTACAAGATTATCATGTAATCTTCTGTTTTTTATATATATTTAAGACTCTTTAAAGTGACATTATGCTCATATTTTCATAGTCAAGTTGAGCTGAATTGACTTTATATTTCAAAAGATTGACTGTCAAAATGCTGTTTGACCAACAGTTGATATTGGAAAATGTTTAGGATAAAATTATACATCTGCCTAAAATTTAAAAAGACTGCCCCACTCTTTTTATAAACTAAGGGTTATACGTAAATTCTAACGGACATTTACAGAAATTTCATTAGGATCTGTGTGTTATTTATTGTATATGCGAACTTAATCATTTAATTAAAGGGGATTATAGCAAAATGAAAACATATTTTGATCTTCACCCTTTCACTCACTATATACCCTTGGATGGGCATAATGTCACTTTAAAGAAGAAAAAAACAACTCTAAAAGCTTTTAAAGAGGACATAGACTGGGCCTTGGCTGAAGTCTTGAATGGTAAGTAATTTGCTTACCACAGTACTTTGAATGATCAGAATGATCTGATCATGATCTTTTTTCTTGTGACATTGTTTTATCGTAATTAAAGATTTGCATGCAGTCTAATAATTAATTTTAACAAAAAAGATTGTAGTGAATTGAATCTATAATCGTGTGTCATTCTTAAATTGTAATTTGTTTTGTGATATAGTATATATATATTTTATATTTACTGCCACAACATACTAGCCACATAATGATGGACAAGATTGGAGATCATGAAATGCAATTTTGGTGTCATCTTATAAAATGTTCCATATTTATGTGTCTTTTATGGCCTCAGTAAACAAGTCACATAGTGATGCACAAAATTAGAAAGTCATTAAAGCAAGGAATATTTTAATTTACAATTAACTCTGAAAACAGAAATATGTCTTCTATGGCCTCAATTAAATGGCAACATAATGATGGACAAGATTACTAAGTAAGAATGAGCATGGGATAATATTCCATGAATTGTTATCACCAAAATTGTTGTTGTCCTTTAGCAAACCACCAGAGTGAGGAGAGCTGTTCAGATGATACAAATGACACCAATGTTGATGACATAGAAATGCAAGGCAGCAGAACTATTGGATGCGATGATGGTGGCCAGGAACTTCAAGATAACAAGTCTGTTGACGACAATAATTGTGACAGTGAACAAAAAGATAATTCTGACGATGGTTGTAGTGAGTATATTTTAACATTTCAAATTTAATCTTGTCTCCAATTTCAATCTATAGTCTATGTAAGTTTGGTGACAGTAACATATTTTTTCAATATTGATGCATCGTTATTGGCCTTGTTAAAAGAGCCACAAACTGATGGACATGATTGGAAGATCATTGAATGCAATCAATATTTTAAATAAATAACATAATCTGCATTAATGTGTCTATAATGGCCTTTAAAAAACTTGTCACATATAGATGGATAAGACTGGAAAGTATGAAATGAAAGGCAGGTTTCATTTTACAAATTATTCCGTTCTGTAATAATTTGTTTTCTGTGGCTTCTAAGACAAGTCACATAATGATAGACAAAGTTTTCAAAGTGGATTGAAGATCTCTTGATTTAATTCATTTATTCTGTTGTTGTCTTTCAGCAAACACATTTGTGGCGGAGAGTTGTTCAGGTGATTATGACATGAATGATTGTGACATTGAAATTCAAAGCGTAACTTTAGTGGTAACATACAACATCAACGTTACAAATCTGTTGAAAATGATAATTGTGGTGAGTTTCTGTTTTTGATTTGCAAATATTGATCCCATTTTTTCATATTTTACATAAAAAACAATATGTTAATCTGTTTGCTGAGTGAAAAAGTATAAATTATATCTTAAATATTGTGTCTCAAAAAAAAAGTATTTGGTGATACATAATACAGTGTGTGTTTAAGTTTACAATTCATTCTGAATCTTGAGTGTCTCCTTTGGCCTCTAAAATAAGTCACATGAAGATGGACAAGATAGCAAGATCATGAATAGAATTTATGTTTCATTTTACAAGTTATTCTAAATCAATGTGTCTCATAAAGGTACAATAAACTGGCCACATTATGATGAACAAGATTTCAAAATAAGCATGGAATAAAATGCATATTCAATTTATTAACACCAATTGTTATTGTCTCATAGAAATCAAGCAGAATGAGGAGAGCTGTTCAGATGATTCAAATGATGGCAATGATGATGACATAGAAATACAAGACAACACGTTTGTTGACAGAAATGATAGTGACATGGAAATTCAGGAGAACAAATCTGTCAACGACAATGATGGTGACATAGAAATTCAGGACAACAAATCTGTCAATGACAATGATGGTACCTTAAAATTCACATCAAATTTATCAACGGCAATGATGGTGACATAGAAATTCTAAACAACAAATCTGTCAATGACAATGATGGTGACCTTAAAATTCACAACAAATTTATCAACGACAATTATGGTGACATAGAAATTCAGAATAACAAATCTGTCAATGACAATGACGGTGACCTTAAAATTCACAACAAATTTATCAACGGCAATGATGATGACATAAAAATACAAGACAACACGTTTGTTGACAGAAATGATGGTGACATGGAAATTCAGAACAACAAATCAGTCAATGACTATAAAGTTGACATGGAAATTTACATCAACAAATCTGCCGATAGTTATGATAGTGACATAGAAATTCACGACAAATATGTCACCAGCAATGACAGTGGTGAGTTAATGTCTTTTAATTTGAAAACTTATTTTTTTTATCTTTCTTTTACTTTCATAATAGCCTATTAATCTAGTAGTTGGGAGGGAGAATTTTAAATTTGTCTTCAATATATTGTGCCTGTTGTTTGGGTTTTAAGGTTAGGTTTTATGGAACAAACACATACCAATATTTGTGCATTTAATGAATAATATTTGAAAATGATATGAAATACAGTGTGTGTTTAAGTTTACAATACATTCTGAATCTTGAGTGTCGTCTTTGGCCTCTAAAATAAGTCACATGAAGATGGACAAGATAGCAAGATCATGAATAGAATTTATGTTTCATTTTACAAGTTATTCTAAATCAATGTGTCTCATAAAGCTACAATAAATTGGCCACATTATGATGGACAAGATTTCAAAATAAGCATGGAATAAAATGCATATTCAATTTATTAACACCAATTGTTATTGTCTTATAGAAATCAAGCAGAATGAGGAGAGCTGTTCAGATGATTCAAATGATGGCAATGATGATGACATAGAAATACAAGACAACACGTTTGTTGACAGAAATGATGGTGACATGGAAATTCAGGAGAACAAATCTGTCAACGACAATGATGGTGACATAGAAATTCAGGACAACAAATCTGTCAATGACAATGATGGTGACCTTAAAATTCACAACAAATTTATCAACGGCAATGATGGTGACATAGAAATTCTAAACAACAAATCTGTCAATGACAATGATGGTGACCTTAAAATTCACAACAAATTTATCAACGACAATGATGGTGACATAGAAATTCAGAACAACAAATCTGTCAATGACAATGATGGTGACCTTAAAATTCACAACAATATTACCAACGGCAATGATGATGACATAGAAATACAAGACAACACGTTTGTTGACAGAAATGATGGTGACATGGAAATTCAGAACAACAAATCAGTCAATGACTATAAAGTTGACATGGAAATTTACATCAACAAATCTGCCGATAGTAATGATATTGACATAGAAATTCACGACAAATATGTCACCAGCAATGACAGTGGTGAGTTAATGTCTTTAAATTTGAAAACTTATTTTTTTATCCTTCTTTTACTTTTCATAATAGCCTATTAATCTAGTAGTTGGGAGGGAGAATTTTAAATTTGTCTTCAATATATTGTGCCTGTTGTTTGGGTTTTAAGGTTTAGGTTTTATGGAACAAACACATACCAATATTTGTGCATTTAATGAATAATATTTGAAAATGATATGAAATACAGTGTGTGTTTAAGTTTACAATACATTCTGAATCTTAAGTGTCTTCTTTGGCCTCTAAAATAAGTCACATGAAGATGGACAAGATAGCAAGATCATGAATAGAATTTATGTTTCATTTTACAAGTTATTCTAAATCAATGTGTCTCATAAAGCTACAATAAATTGGCCACATTATGATGGACAAGATTTCAAAATAAGCATGGAATAAAATGCATATTCAATTTATTAACACCAATTGTTATTGTCTAATAGAAATCAAACAGAATGAGGAGAGCTGTTCAGATGATTCAAATGATGGCAATGATGATGACATAGAAATACAAGACAACACGTTTGTTGACGGTAATGATGGTGACATGGAAATTCAGAACAAGAAATCTGTTGACAGTGATAATGGTGGTGAGTTAATGTTTGATAATAAAGTTTTAGTAGTGTTTTTAGTCAAAAGTATGATTGAATAGATCTGAATATGCCATGTCAACTTGCATGTTGTGAATAATACATGGCATATTAATGGGATATTTATAGCCATGAAAAAGCCACATATTGATGGACATGATTAAAAGGGATCATAGATGTATATGCTTCGGATTTGTTAACATTATACTTGTAAACTTGGTGTTTTGTTAGCAGACATACAACACAATGAAGGATATGAATATGATCATTTTAGAAAACTGACTATTATTTAATCATTATTGTCATGATGGTCTTAAGTTATACCCTGTATGCAAATTCAAATGCATCAATATAAAGTCACTTATATTGAAATCCATACGTTCTGACAGTTACTCATGTTTTTTTTTTCAGAGTCTGACTTCAGCTATGATGATGCTAAAGATGAAGATTATGTCTTGCCTTCAGACATTGATTCAGACGAAGAGTTTTGTCCAGCACCAGACATGTCAAAGTATCTGAAGAAACATGTTGAAACCAAGATTTTGTTTGAAAATGTTAATGAATCAGCAGATTGCCTTGGTTGCTGCTCTGTTCCAGACATCCAGAAGAAAACTGCTGCGGCCAAGAATATGTACAAGAGAGTTACTGAATCAGCAGATTCACTTGATAGTAATTGTTATGTTCAAGGCATTGGAAATGATGCTACTGTTCCCCTGGAAAATGTAAGCGATTTAGAACTGAAAAGGTTAGATGAGGACAAAATTATCAGAGATGTGAATTTAAGAAAAATTTACATGCGAAAGCACATGAAATTGTCCGGAAAGCAAAGTCAACAGATGCGGAAAAAAACTACTGAAAGAATATATAACAATTACAACTGTTGTTTTTATTGCTCTAGATTTGTACAACACATAAGCACACACATGAAAACTCACAGAAACATAGATGCTGTGCGAAACATAATGAAAATGACGAACCCAGATTTCAGTACAATAAGAAAGCTAGGAGATGATAAAAATAATCAAAAAGTAGTGGAGATGAAAGAGGGTGAGTTTCTCATTGCCCGTCGACCAACGAACAACTACTTGGATGTTCAACAATATGGGCCTTGTCCCCATTGTAGGGAATGGCTCCAACTTAATGGTTTAAAGAAGCACATTCACCAGTGTTTGAAAGGAAGCTCTGAGGATGAAATAAAAGAGAGTGTAGGCAACTGTGTCTTGAAATCCCAAAGTCATGGCTGGATTTATATCTTCAAAAACCAGCAAGGTCATGAGAGAAGAGGTCTTGCCAGCAATGAAGAGAGATACTGTTCGACATGCTGTTATAAATTACAAACTCATACTAATGCTTGGAGAAAATTGGTTGAGACGAAATGTTGACAATGTTGAAAAGAGAAAATACTATGCCAGTCAGCATATGCGACTTGTAGCAAAAATGTTGCTTGAGTTGAGAAAAATGAAGGAGTATGAGGAAGGAAATGTAACTGAACAAAATAATGATGACACAGAAACTGCACTCTGGGAGTTTCTGAAACCAGGTTGTTTTGACAAGATTGTTGATGCTTCCCTTCAAGTTTCATTGCCAGATATGGATGACATGAGTGAAATGAAAGCACCCAGTAATGCTATCAAATTGAAGTATGATCTGAAACGATTGGTCAATATGAAGTATGCCTTTCTGATGAAAACAAACCAAGAAGGCAGAGAAGTCTCTGATTGTAAATCGTTCCTGGAGCTAATGAATTTAGAATGGAGTGAAAGAGTAACAAAGATTGCCAGGACTGTCCTGCAGAAGAGAAAGTACATAGAAAGCAAAGACTTGCCTTCACCTGATGACATTGAAAAGTTGACTAAATATCTTGTGTCACAATTAGAGTCTATGGAACTGATCCCAGACAATTACATGAAAATTAATGCTCTGTGTCAAACACGCTTGATGATGTATAACAAAAGGCGTTCAGGAGAACTTGAAGTAATTAGGTAAGTGATTCAATAAGCAAGTACATTTATTACATATAGTAAGCTTAAAAATTTGTGTTCAGATAGCTTTCCTTTTTTCGAATAGGTGAACTTAAAATAATATTTTTTTTTGCAAAAGATTAAATAAAAGGATACGTTAATTGGACTGAACAGTGGTATGTTGTCGGGTGGAAAGAGATCAAAACCAGAATGCTCAGTATATATGCAAACAGTGCGAGGAGCCTATGTGTCAATATCCATGCTTCAAGAGGTGACATACACTTGAAGAATACCGTGTATTATGCACACAGGAACTGCACCAGTCATAGAATATTCCTTAATTACTACAATAAAGGTGTTATCTTTATCCTACTTTTAATTTATTTCAATCAAATGCATTTCGATAAAAAAAGCCAGTACCGATTCTACCCTGGAATATCAAATGTCTATATACCAGTATTATAAAAATGAAAAAATAAATCTGACCTTTTCCTTGAGAGCATTTTACCACAACTATACTTTCTTTTTTTGGCCTGATAGCTAGTTACAGCAAAAAAAATCAATAATTTGTTCTTCAGTCACGGTCAATTATGAGTGAAGGTCAAGGTCTATCTGGTTTACTTACATACCTTAATAATTTTATTTAGTGCCCATCCTCTAATAGACGCCCACCCCCCCCCCATAATTTGGACAAAAATGGCCATTTTTCAGCCCAAGTTGAAAACTTAACTGCCCCTTTTACAATTGAGCTTACCTTTACAATTCAAGTTTCCTTATTTCCGTTTTCACGTAGGAACAAACTTCCCTTTTCTTGTCTTTTTTTCCGTAAAGTTTATATATACACGGTATTCAATGCCACCACCTTTTACAAAAGTTTCTTTTGATGACAAATGCGGTTCTCCAAGTATTTCGGCACTGATTTCAACAATAAGTCCAACTTTGAATAATTTTGTAAGAGGCTGGCATAATCCCTCCGGTATATGGCCAACAACAGATCCATTATTTTTTATGATAATTGCGCTATCACTATGTTCATTTTCTGGTTCCAAATTACACTGAAGTATAGTTCCGACTGGGCATGTATATTTGTAAACGTGATATCCCTTAATAACAGATTTTATAGACACAAGCATAGGGGTTGCCATAATTCAATGTGTTTTGTGTATAAGATATACATGTATAAAAATATCCATTCCAAGATGCCAAAACTCACACGCCTATTTCATTACGTCAGCAAAGTCAACGTGCGTGGTTCAATGTATTGGGCCCCAACATGGGTTCTGATTAATATTATTTTAAACAATAGACGATTGTCTTTTTATATCAAAATCCCGCATCAATCCCTTAAAGAACATATATGCTTGTGTCAGTAAAATCGGTTAGAACTATTCTTACTTTTTTTAACATCATGGGAAACACGAGTCATATACTGTGAAATTTAAAATAAATGTCGCTAAATTAAATGCAAAAGACCACATTATTTCGGAAACAAGTAGAAACTTCGCCATTGATTGAAAAAATAAGAGAATGGATTAAACAGTTCGATGATGGACGATTCGGAGAAAGGTGTCTGGAAACATCTCCCGGGCGCTGGACGAAAAGTGAAAAATGAACAGTTAGACAGGGATATTTTTGAATGGTTAAGTGAACGAAGATCGAGTTGCATACGAACTACCGGCAAGCAGCTGATCCTGGAAGTGCAGCGGCGGTTCATTGTGAGTGGGGATCTCACATTTAAGGGCAGCCGTGGATGGCTACAAAAGTGGATGAAGCGCCATTCGTTTCGTTGCGTGAAAAGACGACCGTAGCACAATGAATATCAGAACATATTGAAAACAAGATAGTCTCATTTCACAAATTTGTTATTCGAATGAGGAAATTGCGGAGCTATCCAATGAAATGCATTGGAAACATGGACGAAACAGCGGTGTACTTTGACATGCCTGGAAATTCCACTCTTCACCATAAGGGTGAGAAATCCGTCATTATACACACAACAGGGCACGAAAAAGAGAAAGTGACGATAATGCTTGCTGCTATGGCTGACGGCCAGAAATTAACGCCAGTGGTCATTCTTAAAGGAAAAAGAGACCCCCCTGCTTCCGACGTACCACCGGACATTTTTAGCAGAAGACAATTTTCTTAGCGCTCAAAGAGTAAATAAATAACCAATTATTAGGCTGTCGAACGTATTATTAGTACGTACTGTCTCAACAGTTACAACTTTGGTTAGCTAAGACCCTTGAGAGTTATGCATAAAACTGTTATAAGGCTAGCCATAAATCTTTCATTGACCTTATCAAGGGTTAGTATTTCGTACTGTGACGCTGTATGATCTATCAGTAGCTTTTTCGAAAAAAAATATATTTATGAAAAACAAAAATAGTGCTTTAGGGAGCACTATTTAGTAAAAGTTGTCAACTGCTGACATCACATCAGGTATAATAATACATACTATCAACCTGAGAAGAAATACTGTTGCTTAAAGTGGCTGACACTTGGGAAACAGTATTCGTCAAATGCTTTATTGTTTATGATTTATTAGTTCAAATGTACTTCTCTAATTTTTTTTCAGAATACATGCTGAGGTAGAACAGTTTACAAAGGGTCTCTGTTCATTAAATTTTGGATTTTTAACAGATTTCTTACATATAGGGAAGGATTGCAGTCAGTTCTTTGTCAGCACAAAGAAACACTGTCAGTGTCCAAGTTCAGGGAGATGTGGACAATCAATTACAATCCTAAAGGTTCATATGTATAAATGTACTGTAGAATGCTTGATTATTGTTTGTAATTGTAATAGTACTAATGTTAAGTACTTGTAATAGTACTTTATATAATAGTTATCCGTAAATTACAGTTTACTTTAATTAGATGATAGGATATGTTTTTTGTTTGTGGCCTGTAGTTCGTATTATGATATATACATATGGCATACACCAAATACAATATTTTCAGTCTTATTAATTAAGCCAGTATAGATAAATACAGGATACATGTATAAAAGCTGAAATTGATCTTCGGCTTCACTACAAAAATGTTTGTTTTAGAAATAATAAATAATTAATGTCATAGCAAAATGACTACCATATTCCTATATGGATGGCATCTTAATACATTTATTTTACACATAAGGAGCAATGTATTATCATCTAACTTACAAATTTTCAGACAGTATTGCTGCCAAAACGAAGTCAAATTGAGCAAATGATTACAAGAACGAAATCAAAAAGGCAGTAGCAAACTTCTGCTGAAACCTCAGAGACAGTGCACAATAAAACATTCATTCCATTCACAACAAGAAGTAACATCAATAGTGGTCAATAAAGGTCTTGTGACACAAGTTCCACCACGGAAAATGAATCAACACTTATACATAGAGAAATGGACAGTGGAAATCCCACAAATGTTGTAACCCAAGTTCAAGAAATATTTACTGGATGTCACAATGTGCATACCACACAGCCTGACTATGACTAAGAGTTCTAAAATGTCACATCTGTGGAAATTTCCTCAAATGCAAAGTTACCACTGACAGAGCCTATTTATCAAATGAAGGTGCAAATGATCACAATGTCTTGTAGTGACAATGTCTTGTAGTGCCTTTACTTACAGTAAATATACTACATTATTAATATTACAGGGCTTTGGTTGATGGAAGAGTTGGAGTCATTTTCTCTTTGATCTTGGCTTGTGACTTCCAAACTATAATACTTCTCTTTCTTTTCTTATATAATGTGACTTCCAATGTCTCATATCTTGTAGTCTCTGACTTCCAAATTTTGGATATTCTTATGATTTATAGATTTTTGAAAAATTAAATGTTGATTAAGTATAAACATTTATATGATGATAGTTTTTTCTATAACAATTTATCATGTATGATTATAAAGAATTCACCAACACTTTTCATATATCATTCTTTTACAGTTTGCTGTCTTGTAGTGTACTAAATACTTTTAACATAATTATTCACTTTAAGTCCTTTTGTCTTTATAATGAGAAACAGGCCTATATTAATTTTAGTGTCATCATTATGTACCACTGCAAAAAAAGTTATAATTGATGAAGTTGAGAAAATGCCAGTATGGAAAGGAAACCAGAAAGCCTGAGTTCAAAGTTGATTGGTATAAAGAGTTCCCCTGCCTGTGGATTGATATACAGAGAAAGGCGGGACAGTGTTGAAATGTGCCACTGTAGTCATTGATTTATACCAGAAAGTCAGCTTTGGTAACAAAGAAGAAACAGTACCACCACCTGGACTTAAGAACTGCAGTAAGTCACAGTCTATTGGCAGATATATTTAGAAGAGACAGGTTACTACTGTCCTGAAAACGTGCGAACCACTTGCTGGAAGTGCATGTTACTATTAAACTTCCTTGACATTGCACAACCTGCAAGTACCTTGCAAAAGTACATGAGATAAAAATAGGGACTGTTCATGGTTGTGTGGTGTACATTATACAATGAGCACTTGTGTAAGGATGTGTGCCATCTAGAATACCATGACCAGTAGATATATATGATAGTGTTTAAGATTCAGCACCAAATTATTAAGTGAGATTCAAGTAAGAAATTTAATCTATCAATTAATTTATCTTTTATTCTCAACCACATCACACCATGATTAATGAGATGTTATCAAGACTTGCACTCATTAAAAATTGATTAATGAATAAAAAGTTCTGCAATATTTTCATTAAAAACTGTTCCAAAATCTGGTTATGATATCATTCTCCATTAGTACTTCATCACCTTTATACAATATTTGTGTCATATATAGAGGGTAGTTACAGTCTCACTTACTTCAATAACAGATAGTTTTATAAAAAAAAAACCAGAATGTTACTTTTGACAAAATTGGAAATACATGTATACAATAAACTAAAAATTGAATCAGAAATTTTTGCAAATCTGAAGAATTTTTCATACTTTCTATAATTTAAATACAATTGAGTTTTTTTGTTGTTTTCTTTTGTTTGGCTTTGGAATCTTTAATTTTTTTAGCTCATTTAAATCAACTTCTTTTTGCAAATATTTCGGATCCTCAACTTAACTTAGAGCATGCAGTAACAATCTAACAAGTACAGAATATGGAGGTCATCATTTCATTGCCCCATTTTTTTTATAAATCTGAACAATCCTACCTTTTCTCTTCTTCTTTATAAAAAGGAATTATTGCACCTGTTAAAGTCAATCACAATATAGCTTTTTTTCCAAAATTGTTCCTGTTCCCTGTTTTCTTCTATTTTCAGATACTTGTTTTCAGTCACAATTGTTCCATCTTGTTGCCAGTTTATCCCAAATGAATATTTAACTAATGAAAAATTCCTAATAAGATTTCAGATTTTACATATTCCGCAACACATTTTAGATGATTACATTGAGTGTCTATTACATGTACTCTTGAAATATTTGCTTCAAGCTTTTAGTTTGGTTCCATTCTATATTAAAGTGCATCAGCATGACACTGTTACTGATAAAATGTACCTCATGAAACTTTCATTGATTATTTTTTAATGTCTGTTACTCTATAAATGTTCCCTCATATCTTTCCGTTTCCATCCTAGATTTAAGTACATAAGCTTGAACACCTAGTGTAGTAATACTGATAGTGTACCTCATTAAACTTTATTGATTACTTTGAATGTCCATTACTCTTGAATTGTCCCCTCCTAGCTTTTAGTTTGGTTCCATCCTAGATTTAAGTACATCAGCTTGAACACTTAGAGTAGTATTACGGATTAAATGTACCTCATTAAACTTTATTTATTACTTTGAATGTCCGTTACTCTTGAAATGTTCTCTCCTAGCTTACAGTTTCCATCCTAGATTTAAGTACATCGGCTTGAACACCTAGTGTAGTAATACTGATAAAATGTACCTCATTAAATGTTAATGATTACTTTGAATGTCTCTTACTCTTGAAATGTTCTATCCTAGCTTTCAGTTTATAAATTTCAGTGTTCTGTTACAAAGCAAAGCTGTTCTGGACACACAGCATTTTGTTAATGTTTTTTTTTCTGCTTAGATTACAGTTAATCAACCTGGACACAAAGTTTTCTGTTCCTATGAAGATAGTCCATCTTGAATTTCTATCTATTTGCTCTGTTGCTGACCTTAGTTTCAGTCTATAAATTTGAACATGAAGTATTTGGTTACTGACAGATGACATTGTTACTGTCTATACAAATGTATATCATTAAATTAATTTGAGCATCCAGCTTTCTGTTACAGTCTAAGTGTTTCAGCATATATTTCAGTAAATCACTTAAGCAACTTAAAAAGTCACATGTCCTACCTCTGTTGAAATACTCCTGTACTCAACTCCTTGCTGGTGTTACATACAAAAAGTTGAGTAATTGGTTTATTTGTAGGTTTTCCTATTGTGACTCCAGTTTAACAACTCCAGTTCAAGAACTTGATCTATCCTGTTTTGTATCATGTCAAAATTTTGCAGTCAACCAAAGACTGTTTTTTAATTGCACATTTCCAATGCTCCCTGTTCTTTCCCGTGAAATAGACCATCATGTAATATGTATAAGGTTGTCTTTTCTTTTCCATGACTACTTTCAAACTGGATTTTGCCATTCAATCTGAAAAAAACATCAACATTTGTTTACATCTTTTTTATATGTTACATGCATGTTAAAAGAATTTTGTCAGTCTCATTTCAAGAATCTTCTCTGACTAGAGGTCTGAAAACATACTGAGCAATCTTAAAGATATATTATGCTTAAATTTGACATTTGAAATTACTGATAATTGCTACATGTACATGTGCACTCAGGGAATTTTTTTTTTTTCTAATTCTACACACTACATATAAATGTAATATGAATATGAAGTGTCATTAAGAACTAGCAAGTTTTTTTTTTAAGAAATGACAGTTTTAACTTTCTCTTATTCATAGAAGGCATATTCAGTACAAAATGAAATTACCTAGATTTCAATAAATTTCTACTATAAAAGTATTTTACCAAACAATAAGCAAGGTAAATAAATCTTCAATAAACATTTACAAAATTTTGAAAATCTAAATTACATTTTTTTTTCATTGTAGACAAAAGTAATATTCTACAAACTAAAATTAAGTTGAATGAACTGCTTTAATATCAGCATTTCATTTACCTCTTAAGAATATAATTACAAATCTGTTCCTTATAAGAATCAATCCCATTATCTTCCACTGTTCTTAAATACATGTGAATCTTCCAAGTTTACATGTACCTGCAACAAAAAGAAAAATTTTGAATTATACAAAATAAACTAGAACTATCACTAAATGTGATTAATACCCCCGCAAGACTGCTTCGGAAATGAGGATGTAACTAGTAACAGAATATCTTGTAAAAGAATTGAAATAAGTGTTATGATTGTGGGCAATTAAAGATAGTTGTGTATTTTGTATGTTGCATTTCCTTTCAATGTGGTTGACCATAAATGAAGTTTTATTGAATTACACTGTAATAAGTCCAGAAAGACAAGGAAAAGGAACAAAGGGCAATAACTAATGAAGATGGAGTTATGGTTATTGTACACTACACTTCCTCTCATTGCGCTTGACCAGTGTATTAAGTTGTATTGAATTCCAACTACTAGTTTTCAAGTTATGCACTGGACAAAAAAAGTAACAATGGGCAATAACTGTAACAAGTCCAAATAGAGTTATGGTGCTTGTGCACTGCACTTCATCTCACCACCCTTGACCATTGTATAAAGTTTCATTGAATTCCAACCATTAATTTTCAAGTTATGCACTGGTCAATAAAAAGTAACAAAGTGCAAAAGCTTTAAATTGGTCAAGAAAGAGTTACGGTTTCTGTGAACTGAGCTTCCTCTCAATATACTTGACCATTGTATGAAATAGTATTGAATTCCAACTGGTAGTTTTCAAGTTATGCTCTGGACAAGAAAAAAGCAATGGAAAAGTAACAAAGGGCAATAACTCTATAATTACTCTGGACAGAGTTAAAGTTCTTATGCACTGCACTTCCTCTTATTGTGCTTGACCATTGTATGAAGTTGTTTTGAATTCCAACCAGTACGTTTTAAGTTATGCTACGGACAAGGAAAAGTATCAAGGGCAATAACTCTGTAATTTGTCAAAATGGAGTTATGGTTCTTATGCAAGCCAGTTCCTCTTAAGTTGCTTTAAAACTGTATTAAGTTGTACTGAATTCCAACCAGTAGTTTTCAAGTTATGCTCAGGAAGGAAAAAGAACAAAGGGCAATAACTCTGTAAATAGTCAAAATGGAGTTATGGTCTTTATGCACTGCACTTCCTCTTAATGTCCTTGACCATTGTATGAAGTTATATTGAATTCCAACCATTGGTCTTCAAGTTATGCTCCGGACAAGGAAAATGCAACAGACTGCTGGACCCACCGACCGACCACCGCATGACTCCTATATACTACCCCCAAACTTTGTTTCAGGGGTATAAAAATTAAATCAATATCAAATCCCAAGGGTGATACATTAACTGGAGCAGCAACTTAACTGTGCAACAACTTATTTATTGAGGCCCCTCCATGCCAAAATGGTTAAGGTTGATGACTACTTGTGCCTCACTGTAAAATTAGGGTCCCACCTAAGACATTTAATTTTTTCATGTAAAAGGAAGCTATCCTGCCAGCTTTTGAAAGGTTTGTGGTTTTACATAGGTTCCAGCGATTAGGATGGGCCAAATATTGAACCAAGGTGCACAAGTTTTGTAAAGGTCAATTAGGCAATGCTACAAGCTTAATAATCTATACATGTATAAGCTCTTGACATTGTAGTTTTACACTTACACTAAAAAATATAAATGTGTTTTCCTATATAATTTTAAAAAAATCTAGTAATCTAAGAAATCTAAATCCCCCCCCCCTAAAGTGGTGGGGATAAAAAAATCAAACTGCAGACGCCATTTTTATTGTAATACTGTCAAATGAAAACTTATGTCTATGTATAAAACTTTACCGAACATGTATGATGAATCGATTCTGTAACAACAGCAGCATTCGATGGTGTTTTATACATACATATTCAGTAATGTTTTATACTTTGCCATGAGGTTGACATTTTAGCCGAGTGCACAAAGTCATGTGCGTTAGAATTTTTAAATGAAAAAAGTATTCAGGTTATGTTGAAGATTAGATATATTAAAAGAATGAAAAGTACTATAAACATTTTCTTACAGTATGTAAATGAATAAAGCCAATTATACTGGTACAGACTGGTAAAAATGTAATAAATTTTAGTCTCATATTTGATTTTTACAATGTCTGTCCGTCAAAATGCAGGGCAAGTACATTTTATGAAAGGTGAGTAAATTTGAAGGGTCAGTTGCTCTGCAACCTAGAAAATTTCATCGAGGCCTGATGCTCAAACTAAAACATGGGGGAGCATTTTGTTGGTGACATTTCAGCATTTTATCATTCAAGCACCTTGTCCAGTATATACCTGAATATGGTATTTACATGCAATTAAATGCTTGTATGGCTGTATGCATGCTTTTTTTATGCCCCGGTCACATAATCACGGATAATGCCACGGAAGAGCTACGGTCTAATGGTTCGCAGATTACTACAGAAATGTGAAATTCCGTAGTCCGCTATGGTTCCGGTACGGACACACAACGATATGAGTAAGGAGTTCGAGGGATTTACCACCAAAAGCCCCGGGAGAGACATGGATTGTTACCGACCGACACGGTTTGATTCGAAGGGACACGAATCAGGACGGACACACTACGGATACACTACGGTCTGCTACGGTATAAGCACGGGTTAGTACAAATAGTATATATTAAAGGGGGCTCATATTTCACTTTTTTTTTGGGGGGGGGGGGGTTTGACACATTTAAGATGAACACAAAGGTTTTTTTTTATCAATGTGATCATATTTACTTCCCAGGTCCGATAGTTGTGCTTTAGGTTTCTCCAAGCCCAAAATAGGTATATTTTCCCCTAAAAATGCTTATATTTTCCCCTTAAATGCCCTGTGCACATTCTTCAACAAAACCATGACTTTACAGCAGCTGAAAGCTGTCCCTATAGATAGCCTCTGCTAAGTACCAATCATGTTAAATTGAACAGGCTGGTGAAAATGCCTGATCAGACTTAAGACATAAAATATCATATTTCTAGAAAAGTAATAAATATGTTTCTTTCTCACTTGTTTAGTTTATTAAGCATTTATATACATGTATGATATAAATCCAGAGCTCCAGATAGCGTGCGTATAAGTGTAAAATACGCATGGAAAATCTAAAATACGCATCACTTTCAAAATTCGTGCGTCAAAGTTACGCACAACAAAATGAAAATACGCTTGTATGTCAAAATTTAAGCGTAAAAGAATAGAAGTGTAAACATTTGATATTCAGTTAGAGGATGTTTTGAGCATAAAAATACAATATATTTCCATTTTATTGCATTGAAAACTAAAAGTTCTATTGTCAACAAGGCATGTTAAAAACGAAAGTAGCAGGAAGTACAGAAGAGCAGAAGAGTGTAACTCCCGTAGATCAACCTGTGAAATTATTGATATAAATTTTTGCCAGATAATCATCGTAGGAGTTAACATAGTATTAAGTTTGTTTAGGCATCTATTGACATGCTTATGTCTCAATATAAACAAAAATATATTTTAATTTCTTTCACTTTTGTTGTTGAAACAAAATAACATGTTTTCCACCTGCAGTTTTGAACTCAATATTTTCGTACCCAGTCTACAGTTACGGACAATTTTCTCTCAGACCAATACTTTTTTTAAGGAAAGATAAAAAATCTTGTTGTTTTTTTCTTCAATTCTAATTTCAACTATAATTGTTCAAACTGGAGCATATGATAAGCTACATGCCAACAGAAATAAAGAAATAAAAATATTGACTCCTAGAAAAAATATATTTATTTAAGGGCTTTTAATAGTGGAAGTTTGGGAGTCATTTACTCCTTCATTTTGGCATGTGACTTCCGAAAATCTAATACATTTCCTTCTTTACCAATATAATGTGACTTCCAATATCAGAGATTTTGAAGTCTTTGACTTCCAAATTTTGAAAATTGAAGCCCTGATAATTTTGCTGTGTATCCCAGGTACGTATATTAACGGTATCCGCAACTCTATACAGTAAATCAATAACGGTAAATTATGCTGTCGTGGCAGATAATCCATCCAGACTGCCGATCGTTATTGATTTTTATCGACGATTAAGCGGTATGATATTTGACCTTGGTTATTTAAATTACCGTCAACATGTTATTTTCTGTTCAATTTTTTAAAAGTAACATATTCTAGAAAGCTGAAAAATAGATATTTTCAAATATATATTTTTATTAATCAGTGCGTTGAGTATGAAGAAAATTACAACGAGTTAAACACAGATTGTTTGTTTTTTTTTGTCTCCCGATTATGTCAAAACTTCAGTAAAAATTATGATCCCCTCTCCGAACAAATATAAGATTTTTTCGTCATTTATGGTCCAAATTTCGCAAAATACCTATCAAAAGAAAACTGAGAATTTGATCTTTTTAACCGTGTAATTATCATTTACAAAGCTAAATTATTTCCGGAATTATAACGAGTAAAAACGCAACTTTTACTACCAGCCAAATCGCGACTGCACTCGAAAGAATTTTATATACATGTAGTAACAAGTTATTATTGTTTTGTCATTTTTGGCCGAAATTTGTGAAACAATATTTATAAAAAAAAACTTATAAACTGTAGTTTAAAATTTTTATTTTTCAATTTCTTTTGCGTATCTAAAATAAATGCGGGTAAGATATCGTGAAGAATCACATTGCCAAAATCATCTTGCATATTTCGAACACAACTTTTACCATATATTTAACTTATAAAGCCCTTTATATTTTTTATTTGAACATTGTTTTAAAGAATGGTATTATCTATCTATCTTTTTTTTTAAATGAAATAAAAGTATGATTATATAATTTTCAAACTGCACCAGAAAAGAGCTCTTATAAAAATGTTTGTTTTTCTGAAAAACGGCCTAAACATTTTTTGTTATAAAAGTATTGTGAAAAATAAGTACATTGTACCATCATAATTGATGTTTGCTGCAGATTCAGTAATTGATTTAATCACGGTTATTAATGTGCATCTATTTAATTGTTCAATTGTGATAGTTTTCACACTTTATCTATCAGTCGGTCCTGTTTGAAACTGCTTTTTAGTGGGTAAGGCTAGATTGTAATTACTATATCCAGTTGTTTTTATTT